TGGGATACTAAAAATGTAATATTTTAGTAGGAAATAAAAAAATTCATATTTTACTCCGAAAAAAAAACGTCATAGTATAGTATGAACAAAAATTCAGATTTTAGGGTAAAAAAACCTGCCTTAGAATAGTCTGATCACAATGCCATAGTATGGGATAATAAAAATGTAATATTTTAGTAGGAAATAAAAAAATTCATATTTTACTCCGAAAAAAAAAAACGTCATAGTATAGTATGACAAAAATTCTGATTTTAGGGTGAAAAAAAAAAACAGATTTTAGGATGAAAAAACCTGCCATAGTCTTGTCTGATCAAAATGCCATAGGGTAGGATGCTCAAAGTATCATATTTTAGTAGGAAGTAAATAATTCATATTTGAGTCTGAAAAAAAAAGTCATAGTATAGTATGACCAAAAATTCAGATTTTAGGGGGACATTTTTTTTTCAGATTTTAGGATAAAAAAACCTGCCTTAGTATCATCTGATCAAAATGCAGTAGTATAGGATTATAAAAATGTAATATTTTAGCAGGAAATAAATAATTCATATTTTAGTCCGAAAAAAAAACATCATAGTATAGTATGACAAAAATTCAGATTTTAGGGTGAAAAAAAAAACAGATTTTAGGATGAAAAAACCTGCCATAGTCTTGTCTGATCAAAATGCCATAGGGTAGGATGTTCAAAGTATCATATTTAAGTAGGAAATAAATAATTCATATTTTAGTCCGAAAAAAAAAGTCATAGTATAGTATGACCAAAAATTCAGATTTTAGGGTGAAATTTTTTTTCAGATTTTAGGATGAAAAAACCTGCATTAGAATAGTCTGATCTCAATGCCATAGTATGGGATACTAAAAATGTAATATTTTAGTAGGAAATAAAAAAATTCATATTTTACTCCGAAAAAAAAACGTCATAGTATAGTATGAACAAAAATTCAGATTTTAGGTTGAAATTTTTTTTCAGATTTTAGGATGAAAAAACATGCTTTAGTTTATTCTGATCAAAAAGCCATAGTTAGGAATGTTAAAGGTATCATATTTTAGTAGGAAATAAATAATTCATCTTTTAGTCCTAAAAAAAAATGTCATAGTATAGTATGACCAAAAATTCAGATTTTAGGGTGAAAATTTTTTTCAAATTTTAGGGTAAAAAAACCTGCCTTAGTATCATCTGATCAAAATGCCATAGTATAGGATTATAAAAATGTAATATTTAAGCAGGAAATAAATAATTCATATTTTAGTCCGAAAAAAAAAAAGTCATAGTATGGTATGACAAAAATTCAGATTTTAGGGTGAAAAAAAAAAAACAGATTTTAGGATGAGAAAACCTGCCTTAGAGTAGTCTGATCTCAATGCCATAGTATGGGATAATAAAAATGTAATATTTTAGTAGGAAATAAAAAAAATCATATCTTAGTCCGAAAAAAAAACGTCACAGTATAGTATGACAAAAATTCAGATTTTAGGGTGAAAAAAAAAACAGATTTTAGGATGAAAAAACCTGCCATAGTCTTGTCTGATCAAAATGCCATAGGGTAGGATGTTCAAAGTATCATATTTTAGCAGGAAATAAAATATTCATATTTTAATCTGAAAAAAAAAACCGTCATAGAATAGTATGACAAAAATTCAGATTTTAGTGAGAAAATTTTTTTCAGATTTAAGGATGAAAAAACCTGCCATAGTCTTGTCTGATCAAAATGCCATAGGGTAGGATGTTCAAAGTATCATATTTAAGTAGGAAATAAATAATTCATATTTTAGTCCGAAAAAAAAAGTCATAGTATAGTATGACAAAAAATTCAGATTTTAGGGTGAATTTTTTTTTCAGATTTTAGGATGAAAAAGACCTGCCATATTCTTGTCTGATCAAAATGCCATAGTATGGGATAATAAAAATGTAATATTTTATCAGGAAATAAAAAAAATCATAATTTAGTCCGAAAAAAAAAGTCATAGTATAGTATGACAAAAATTCAGATTTGAGGGTGAAAAAAAAAACCAAATTCTAGGATGAAAAAACCTGCCATAGTCTTGTCTGATCAAAATGCCATAGGGTAGGATGTTCAAAGTATCATATTTTAGCAGGAAATAAAATATTCATATTTTAGTCTGAAAAAAAAATGTCATAGTATAGTATGACCAAAAATTCAGATTTTAGCGTGAAAATTTTTTTCAGATTTAAGGATGAAAAAACATGCTTTAGTATATTCTGATCAAAAAGCCATAGTTAAGGATGTTCAAAGTATCATATTTTAGTAGGAAATAAATAATTCATATTTTAGTCCTAAAAAAAAATGTCATAGTATAGTATGACCAAAAATTCAGATTTTAGGGGGACATTTTTTTTCAGATTTTAGGATAAAAGAACCTGCCTTAGTATCATCTGATCAAAATGCTATAGTATAGGATTATAAAAATGTAATATTTAAGCAGGAAATAAATAATTCATATTTTAGTCCGAAAAAAAAAAAGTCATAGTATAGTATGACAAAAATTCTGATTTTAGGGTGAAAAAAAACAAACTGATTATAGGATGAAAAAACCTGCCATAGTCTTGTCTGATCAAAATGCCATAGGGTAGGATGTTCAAAGTATCATATTTTAGCAGGAAATAAAATATTCATATTTTAGTCTGAAAAAAAACGTCATAGTATAGTATGACAAAAATTCAGATTTTAGGGTGAAATTTTTCTTTCAGATTTTAGGATGAAAAAACCTGCCTTAGAGTAGTCTGATCTCAATGCCATAGTATGGGATATTAAAAATGTAATATTTTAGTAGGAAATAAAAAAATTCATATCTTAGTCCGAAAAAAAAACGTCATAGTATAATATGACAAAAATTCAGATTTTAGGGTGAAAAAAATAAAACAGATTTTAGGATGAAAAAACCTGCCATAGTCTTGTCTGATCAAAATTCCATAGGGTTGGATGTTCAAAGTATCATATTTTAACAGGAAATAAAATATTCATATTTTGGTCTGAAAAAAAAAACGTCATAGTATAGTATGACCAAAAATTCAGATTTTACGTTGAAATCTTTTTTCAGATTTTAGGATGAAAATAATGCTTTAGTCTTGTCTGATCAAAAAGCCATAGTTACGAATGTTAAAGGTATCATATTTGAGTAGGAAATAAATAATTAATATTTTAGTCCTAAAAAAAAATGTCATAGTATAGTATGACCAAAAATTCAGATTTTAGGGTGAAATTTTTTTTCAGATTTTAGGATGAAAAAACCTGCCATAGTCTTGTCTGATCAAAATGCCATAGGGTAGGATGTTCAAAGTATCATATTTTAGCAGGAAATAAAATATTCATATTTTAGTCTGAAAAAAAACGTCATAGTATAGTATGACCAAAAATTCAGATTTTAGGGTGAAATTTTTCTTTCAGATTTTAGGATGAAAAAACCTGCCTTAGGATCATCTGATCAAAATGCCATAGTATAGGATAATAAAAATTTAATATTTTAGGAGGAAATAAATAATTCATATTTTAGTCCGAAAAAAAAAACGTCATAGTATAGTATGACAAAAATTCAGATTTTAGGGTGAAAAAAAAAAAAAAGATTTTAGGATGAAAAAACCTGCCATAGTCTTGTCTGATCAAAATGCCATAGGGTAGGATGAGAAAAGTATCATATTTTAGCAGGAAATTAAATATTCATATTTTAGTCTGAAAAAAAAACGTCATAGTATAGTATGACAAAAATTCAGATTTTAGGGTGAAATTTTTGCTTTCAGATTTTAGGATGAAAAAACCTGCCTTAGAGTAGTCTGATCTCAATGCCATAGTATGGGATAATAAAAATGTAATATTTTAGTAGGAAATAAAAAAATTCATATCTTAGTCCGAAAAAAAAACGTCATAGTATAGTATGACAAAAATTCAGATTTTAGGGTGAAAAAAATAAAACAGATTTTAGGATGAAAAAACCTGCCATAGTCTTGTCTGATCAAAATGCCATAGGGTAGGATGTTCAAAGTATCATATTTTCGCAGGAAATAAAATATTCATATTTTAGTCTGAAAAAAAAAACGTCATAGTATAGTATGACAAAAATTCAGATTTTAGCGTGAAATTTTTTTTCAGATTTAAGGATGAAAAAACCTGCCATAGTTTTGTCTGATCAAAAAGCCATAGTTATGAATGTTAAAGGTATCATATTTGAGTAGGAAATAAATAATTCATATTTTAGTCCTAAAAAAAAATGTCATAGTATAATATGACCAAAAATTCAGATTTTAGGGTGAAATTTTTTTTCAGATATTAGGATGAAAAAACCTGCCTTAGGATCATCTGATCAAAATGCCATAGTATAGGATAATAAAAATGTAATATTTTAGGAGGAAATAAATAATTCATATTTTAGTCCGAAAAAAAAAAACGTCATAGTATAGTATGACAAAAATTCAGATTTTAGGGTGAAAAAAAAAAAACAGATTTTAGGATGAAAAAACCTGCCATAGTCTTGTCTGATCAAAATGCCATAGGGTAGGATGTAGGAAGTATCATATTTTAGTAGGAAATAAATTATTCAATTATTAGTCCGAAAAAAAAATGTCATAGTATAGTACGACCAAAAATTCTGATTGTAGGGTGAATTTTGTTTTTTTTCAGATTTCAGGATGACAAAAACCTGCCATAGTCTTGTCTGATCAAAATGCCATAGGGTAGGATGTTCAAAGTATAATATTTTAGCAGGAAATTAAATAATTCATATTTGAGTCTGAAAAAAAAACCGTCATAGTATAGTATGACCAAAATTTCAGATTTTTGGGTGAAAGAAAATCCCAGATTTTAGGATAAAAAAACTTGCCATAGTAAATAGTATGATAAATAGATATTTAAAACATTTTTTTACCTCCTGTTATGATAAATATATGTATAAAAACATCTTTTCTGTTCATCCGTCCGTCACCGTTACTCGACCTGAGCTGTAGTTCGTCCTCTGGCCTCCGGGGGGCAGTATAACCCAGCCTCCGTTTGGCTTTCGCCTGGAACAGTAGAAGAAGAAGGAGTGTTCCGTAGGGGCCCGCGGTGTCGGTTCTGTTCTGGTCTTTTACTCTCTCAAGTTTTACCGGATTCTTCTTGAAAGTTCGCCGGTATTTCTCACCGTCCTCAGCTGCTCTCTGTGACCCGCTCAGCGCGCAGGTAACACGGACACTTTTGTCCCTCTGTTCCCGCGGAAACGATAGTTAGCAGCTGTTAGCATGTGCTAATGTTAGCATGTGAGGGAGGGGGGGAGAGGAAGTTTGATAGAGTCCACCTGAAGACCTGAGGTCAGTCCTACAGGTGTGTTTGTCTGTCCACAGGTGTGTGAAGATGTCTGAACTCGTGGAACCTCCGGGGGGAGAACAGCTGTGTGTGTACCTGCTGAGGGGGGAGGAAGAGGAGGAGGAGAGGGGGGAGGAAGAGGAGAAGGAGGGCAGGAGGGAGGTGGGCTGTCAGTGGGAGAGTCCAGAGGACGAGGAGAAGAAGGAGGTGGGCTGTCAGAGCGACTCAGCCGAGAGGAGAGACGCTGCTGTCCAGGTGGACCTGCTGACTCAGCAACTGAGCTGGACACACACAGGTGAGACACACACACACACACACACACAGGTGAGAGAGACACACTCACAGATGAGAGAGAGAGAGACTCACAGACACACAGGTGAGAGAGACACACACACAGATGAGAGAGACACACACAGATGAGAGAGACACACACACACAGACACACACAGGTGAGAGAGACACACTCACAGACACACACAGGTGAGAGAGACACACTCACAGACACACACAGGTGAGACCAAACATTTCCCAGAGCACCTCAGTCCATGAATCTCAGTCTTAGACCTTTCTCTGGATCCTCATTGTCTAAAGCTGACCTCAGTCTCTGACCTCAGTCCCTGACCTCAGTCTCTGACCTCAGTCCCTGACCTCTGTTCTGAGCTCCGCCCCTCCAAACTTCACCCTCAGGTTCAGCAGGTTACTGTCAGGTCCAATCCCAAACCGCCCCCTACAAACCCGACCTTCACTCCCGAGTGTCACTCCTAATGAAGTTCCACTCACACCTGTGGAGAGCACCTCAGTTGAAACAGGAGGGTATAAACATGATGGGCGGGTATGGGATGCCCTCCTCACTTCACCAGAAAACGGAAAGATTCATCACCATAGCAACACAAAGACGCGTCCTGTGCATGGCAGCGTTTATTTTCTTAGTAAACGGGAACCATCACAGAGACAAGAACTAAATTAAACTTCTGATTGTTAGTGATTCCACACGTCACCACACGGCACGCCTGATGTTGACCACACACAGCGCGGTCCATCAGTCATGTTTCCGTCACACAGCTGGACAGACAGCTGACATTAGAGGGGGTCTAAAGCTTTAATGCAAAAAGGTGAGTGAACGTTAAAACAGTCGGACTGACAGGAGTTTGGATTAGAGGGTTTTTACTGTCAAACTATCAAAGAGAAATAAGACCACGCCACGCAGACGCCATCAGTAACACGTTTAGAGAGGATTGTAAACGAGGACAACATAACTGACAACATGACTTTACTGTATTTACGGCGCTGTGATGAGAATCAAGTTTTTTTCAGTGTGTAAATGAACGGACAACTCTGCAGTGTCGTTGTTATTTACTAGAGTATGATGGACTTTTCCAAACTAGAAACCAGTTAAACCAGGACAACCATATTACAGAATAACAGCCGACTTACAGTCAGACTGAATACTACTACAGAACACAGTACTCAGTATGAAGTATCTACTGTATACTACTACAGTACTCAGTATGAAGTATCTACTGTATACTGCGGTCAGCAGGAGTCTGCAGTAGGACAGTTAGAAAACGGCCCATATTTGTATTTTAGCGAGGAGCTGATCAGTCGACCATCAGAGACCTGAGTCACTCCTGAGTTTTTAATCCAGCTGCAGTGACGTGTATCTGACAGCAGGGGGCAGCAGAGCTCTGTGCAGTGATCAGGAGACTAAAAGGCTTCTAATAAAGTTTCAGTGTGACCTTTGACCTGAAGCTGGTTTTCTGTTCCTAACTGACCAGGATGAGACTCGAAGGTTAATCCTGACATCTGGACCAGCAGCTCAGTCCGGACTTAAAGATGTGGGTCGAGTTCAGACCGGTTCTTTCCTCTGTCTGCAGGTTCACCTGAGATGCTGCTTCAGTGTTTCGCTGTTAGACCGGATGGACCAGACGGGGGCGCTCTCCTGAAGCACTGCACCACCAACCGCACCAGAACCAGAATCATCCAGCCTGCAGTCAAACTGTCCCCAGAACTCACTTCATCCAGGTCCAGGACCCAGAAGAGACCGCCTCCCCAGAATTCCAACAACACCAAACGTGGGCGTCCCAAACGGGGACGACCTCGCCGTGTGTTACCTGACGCTGAGCAGAAGGAAGCCGAAGGGGAGGGGGAGGGAGGGGAGGAAGGAGAAGAGGAGCAGGAGGGCGAGGAGGCAGAGGAGGAGGAGGAGGTGGTGGAGGACACAGGAGACCCCACCTGGACTCCATCAGGTCGAGGTAAGTCCAGAACCCTGATCAAAGTCCAGAACCCTGATCAAAGTCCAGAACCCTGATCAAAGTCCAGAACCCTGATCAAAGTCCAGAACCCTGATCAGACCTTTTTGATTTGGTGACAGAATCAAATTTAAGTGTTTTTGGTATTAAAAAAAAAACATCCTGGACAAAGATCATTTCACCAAAACTGACTTTTAAAAGTTTAACTTTTATATTTTCTTTATTTTATTATTTTACATGTTTCTCACTCGTCAAAGGAAATATTTTAAATCCTAATTTGGATCTAATTGTAAGATTTTGGCTTGTGGCTCATGAAACCTCTGATTAGTGCTGGACGATCAAACGATAACGATATCCGAAATTAACTTCCCTCAATAAAAAAGGAGAAAAGTTCGTTCTCCAGGATTTAGAGTTTAGAGCGGTAAGGTGTTCGGTGTGTGTGTTCCTGTTAAAAGACACAGATACAGATGTTGAGTTTAGCAGATTTATTTGACTGTGGTTCAGCTGATAAAGATACAAAACAACAATCAGTACAGCTCACACCGTACAGAACATGAACATGGAGTAGCTTCAGATAGCATTAGTCATATTTACAGTAAACAATCCATTCACTCAAAATAGCATCTAATAGTGAAAAATCATCAAACTCACTTCTGACATTTACACACAATAAACCTGGATGTGAAAATGAATATTGGATAAAAACAGGTCAGAGGAAATTTACAAACTATCCTCATGAGGAGGAAAACTAAACTTTCGTAGCTACAGTATCTCACACACAGGTGTGTTCAATCGCGCTGGAACACCTATGGTGCGTTCACAAACATTAGACAAATGAAAACTCACTGTTAAACACAAAATAACTGAACAGTATTTACTTGAAAACACCTACAGGCTACACAGACTTTCTAACAGGCCTTCTGCCATGTTTTGGTCGACTATACGAACAGCCAATGAAAAGGGGAGTTTCTCCGGGTCTGAACCAATCATGTTCTGAATTAGAACCAAGTATCAACCAACTGCAGCGTCGTAGCAGACAGCAGCTCCACCCAACCATAGCACTTTAACAGGTGAAGCCGACAGCACTGTTGGTGAGAAACAAAGAAAATGAGTGCTACCCCCGACAGAAATGACCATGAAGGCTCAACAGATGACCACATCAATGTCAACCACAACACTGGCGTTAGGAAAACGTCGGTGGTGTGGAGGTATTTTGGTTTTTGGAGGTCGGACATGAAGCAGAGTAATGTGGACTGTAAATTATGTCGAGTACATGTTCTCACAAAGTCGGGGAATACCTCAAATCTTTTTCACCGCCTGAAGCAGCGCCACAAAAGCAACAAAACGTCAAAGAGACACACAGACCTCACAGATGCAGGAGATTATTGTATTGGAAAAGACATGAGACCAATAAACACTGTTAGATTTCATTTTTATATCGTGATATTCATCGATACCGACTGATACGAAAAAAATATATAGTGATAAACTTTTTCACATATCGCCCAGCCTTACCTCTGATTCAGAGATCTAAACCGTGAGAATATTTACAAACCCCTACAAATATTTAAAATCCAGAAATGTCAGAGTTCAGAAAAGTGTTCAAATATAATCTCTCGACTTGATCTTCTTAACCGTGAAACCTGTCCTGATTGTGGTCAAGGAAACAGATTCAGTTTTCACACATTTACAGACTGTAGTTTTACCTTTGTCCAGCAGGAGGCTCCACTTCATAAAATATGAATAAAAAAGAGCGCCAAACATCAAAGTCTTTGTCAGTTAAACAGAGCATGAAAATTCACTCTTTCATTGTTTTACTGAAACCTAACCCTGACCCTAAACCCTGATCCTAAACCCTGATCCAAAACCCAAACCCTAACCCTGAACCCTGACCCTGACCCTAAACCCTAACCCCTAACCCGAACCTGAACCCTGATCCTGGACCGCACAGACACCTTTCTCGATCTTTACTCTCTCTAAACAGTCTTCTCTCTGGTCCCCCCTCCCCATTTCTCTCACCCGTCAGATGTCGTCTCTCACCCGTCCCCTCTGCCTCAGGGTGACGTCCAAACAGACTCACTTTCCCAGCATGCACCTGTCCCGGTGGTGAAGCTGGAGCCCGACAGCACCATGTGTGACGTTTGTGGCAAAGTGATGAAGAACAAGTCGAGTCTGGCGCGCCACTCCTTCATCCACACGGGGAACAAACCGTTCGCCTGCCACCTGTGCGAAATGCGCTTCAACCGCCGTGACAACCTGCAGCATCACCTGAGTCGGCTTCACCCCAACGGCGTCGCCAAGCTGGAGAAGCAGCGTGCGGTGCAGGCGTGGCTCTGCGCCGTCTGCGGTAAAACTTTCAACTGCAGGTCGCGCCTGAAAACACACGAGGTCATCCACTCAGGGGTGAAACCGCATCGCTGCGACCTCTGCCCCAAAGCCTACATGAGGAACAACGACCTTGAACACCATAAGAAGATCGCTCACGTGGAAGGCGGCACCGAGACGCCAAGGCCGAGCTCGCTGCTCTGTGACCTCTGTGGGAAAGAGTTCAAGTGTAAATCGCAGCTCGCCGTCCACTTTCAGACGCACACGGGAGAACGACCACACCTCTGTGACATCTGTGGACGCAAGTTCAGCCGCCAGTACCAGCTAAAGCGCCACAAGATCCTCATCCACGCCAACAGAATGAACGGCGAGGAGAATGTGACAAGCGACGCTCCGTATGCATGTGACGTCTGTGGGAAGCGTCTGAAGTCTGAGGCGCACCTCGCCGCTCACGCCCGCATCCACTCAGGAGACAAACCTCACCACTGCAGCATCTGTCTGCGCAGCTTCCAGAGCGCCACCTGTCTGAAACAGCACCACGTACGGGTTCACCTGAGGGTCCGGGTCAACGAGCCGCGGGTTGGAGGGCGCAGGAAGGGCTCAGCCATGATGAAAGAGTTCCTGTGTCCCGTCTGCAGCAAAGTCTTCAGGTTCAGGTCTCTGCTGGCGAGTCACTCTCTGATCCACAGCGAGATCCGACCGTACGGCTGCGACTTCTGCAGCCGCAGCTTCAGACGCCTCAGCCACCTAAAGAGACACAACGAAGTCGTCCACGCCAACGGAGCGCGCCTGCCGCAGAGCTTCATCTGCCATATCTGCGGCAAAGACAAGAAGTGCCGCTCACAGCTCGCCAGACACGTCATCATCCACACCGGCGAGCGGCCCTACGCCTGTGACCTCTGCCCCGCCCGCTTCAATCGCCGTGGGAACCTGCAGCAGCACAGGAAGCGTATGCACGGCATAGGGGTGGTAGCCTCAGAGGAGGCTCCGCCCATTCTGTTCGATGATGATTTGATTCCCGCTCTTACTTATAAACAGGAAGAGACGGTGGTCGCTGTGGACGCCACCGCAGAAATCTGTGAGGCTGCGGAGAGCCAAGAGACGGTTCAACAGCTGATCAACACCTGACCACGCACAACGCCGATGACTAAACTGAGCATGCTCACAACGCCCCTCCTCAATGAACTCTAACCTCTCAGTCTGTGGTGGTCTGAGGCGTGAACCTGAAGGAGTCAGCTGAACTCTGATGAAGATCTGCTCTATTGAGACTTTGTATTAGTTTGATCAGTGATCAATCAGTGACCGATAATCAATGACTAATGAGGGATGAACGGATGAATTTTCATTAAAGAAAAACTAAAACCTGCAGGTCGTTTCTCTCGTTGTTTGGTTCAGAAGTTCTTCCATAAAGTCCTTCAGGGTCTTCCTGAAGGCCTCCTCCTCCACCTCCTACCTCCTTCTATCCTTCCTTACCTCCTCCTGCCTAGATTGAACTCTGACTGTTCTCTCTCTTCTTTTTCGTACTTTTTCCTGTCCTTTTATCTCCTTGTCCACTTCCTCCTTCCCTTTTTAATCTCCTACTATCCTTCTTTGTCTCCTTTTCCTTCTGCCTTCATCATGTCCCTTATTGCCTACTCTTTCCTCCTTATCACCTATCCTTTCCTCCTTATCACGTCCTCGTTTGCTCCATGAAACTGAAGCACCTGATTGGTTCATTTCTGTGTGTTTTGCACCAATAAGAAACCTGAGAGACAGGAAGCATTTTATTTTGGACAAACATGGACAAACATACAAAACACACACTCAGACACACAAACATGACAGAGTGATCAGAATTTGGTCACATGATGAGAGGCGTTTCTATGGCGACAGTTATGAGCGATCAGAGGGATTATTGGGTCAGCTGTTGAGGGACTGACGGATTATTATGAAGTTATTTAATGACTTTATTTCTGGGTTAACTGAGGCTTAAACTCTGAAAATGAATGAAAGTTAACGGGATGAATTAAAGTTTGAACATGAAAGAGATCTGAGCTTTAATTTGACTCTTCTGGGGATTCAACTCATTTCACATTTCATCACTTTTGGAGTTTTATAGAACGAGGTTTTTGCACAGCGACTGAAACCCGAACTCGAAATGAAAAACGGTGCATATGTATTTATTTTAAGTGTCTTCTCGAGTGTCAGCTGAGTTTGCTGCGTTCAGGTGACCTGGGAAAAATCACCTTTCTGCGCAGGTGAGTGAGAAAGAGGAATGGTGCGTTTGGTTTACCTCAGAAGTTTCCAAACTGGATTTTACATCGTGTTTGTATCGACCCGTTCAGATAGGAGCCGAAGAGTTAATTAGAGGACGTCAGCACAGGTAAGTCTCACCTTTAAAATAACAGAGTGTGGAGAAAAATTAGAGGAGTTACTTTTTTAATTCTGCGCTGAGGAAAAAGTGTTAAAACCTCAAGAATGACGTCAAACAACACAACTCTGAGAGAATCATTCCTGCGAGTGAATTACATGTACAGACGTGGTTATAGACCAGCTGTCGTTGGCAACAGAGAGGCGATACAAACCGAACGATATCTGCCTGAGAACGACGCAAATTCACGATACATTTAAAGAGAAAACAAGAGCTGATTTATGAACGTCCCACATACGAGCTCTGCCTGTGAACGCATCACTCTGACACAAACCCCCAACATGTGATCTATTTACAGAATGATGAATATAAAGATATGAAATCTGCACTGATAGACATAAAGTCTTCTCCACAAGTCCAGTCTGTAGCTGTCTGAATCTCATTCTCAGAAAAGAAAAGAGAAAAGGAAGAAAAAACTCAAAAATAAACTGACAAGACACAGGGGGAAAGAAAGGAAAAAAGGAAACAGACGGAAGAAGAAGAAAAGGAATTAAGTCAAAAAAGGAAATGGAAGAATGGAGAAAGGGAAATTAAAAAAGGAAATGGGAAATAAAGGAAAATAAAAAAAATGGAATAGGAAAAAAATAAACAAGAAAGAAGAAGAGGGGAAATCTCAGTGATCTAAAGGAAAAATAAAATGAAAGGAAACAAAATGAAAAAAAGTGCAGAAAAGAAAAGAGACAAGGAAACAGATAAAAAGACAAGATGGGAAATAAGGAAGCAGGACCTGCAGAGAAAGGAAAGGAGGTGAGGAAGGAAGTGTGAAAAATCAAAGTGAGAAAACAGGAAGACAGGTGCAGAAGGAAACAAGGAGGCAGGTGAGCTCAGGTGCAGTTCTGTGAGTACAGTCAGCATCATCCTCTCCAAGCCCCTCCCCCTCCTCAATGTTGACACGCCTCCATGCGGCTGATTGGCGGAGCTGTAGAGTGACCACACAGTGTGATGTCATGATGATGTCAGACCTCCATGCTGTCTGGTTTGGGCGTCCTGGAAATCCACAAGTTTGATTGGTCGACGGCCGTCTTTGTGTGAGGAGTACTGCTGCGGACAGATAGACGTAAACGTTACCATGGTTACCATTATTGTTCCTCTAAGTTAGCGCCTTCTGGTCTTGTGATTGGTCCAAAGTGAGCTCAGGATTTTTTTATTATCATTTCCATCATCATAGATATCTATAAGAAAGGCTAGATGACTCTATGAGGCGGAGTCACCGGCGTCCCTAGCTATTTCTCTACCTATCTGTTTAACGTTTATTTATGAAAATCCATGGTTAAAATTATTCTTGAGTATTCAGGAACATAATTAAAACTCTGAGGTTTGTTACAAACCAAACCGTTTGAAAATCAGTTTAAAATTAATCAATCTATAGTTATTTAAATGTTACATGAACCGTAGACTGGAATGTTGGGAGTGGGCCAGGGTCCCATAGCGAAATGGCCGCCATGCAGATGTCAGTCTCCATTGGCTAACAGCATGCGTAAGCCATCTAGCTTATATATATATATCTATGATGATGATGATCATGACCCTCTCTTCAGCCTCAGACTGAAAACAGACAGTTCAGGAGAAAAACTCCAGATTCAGCAAGAAACACCTGAACCGATGCCAGGTATTGACACACATTTATACTCTCTATCTCTCTGTCTCACACACACACACACACACACACACACACACACACACACACACACACACACACACACACACACACACTTATACACACATACTCATACACTCACATACTCATACACACACTCTTACAGAGAACATAGAGCTGGGCAGTGATCCAGCAGAGGCTGTAAATCAGCTCTTGTTAACAAGACATGTGAGTGTTTGACCTGTCATAATCACTGAGTAAGCACTACACACACACACACACACACACACACACACACACACACACACACACACACACACACACACTCTTCGTCTGCATCCTCAGCAGTAAAATTAGTTACAGTGTAAGCAGATTGACCAGCGACAGCAAGGGCTGCTGGGAGTCGTAGTCTTACCTCCGACTGAGCATCTGAAAACAACATGTCCCAGAAGCCACCAGGATGAGCAGCAGCAGGGGGATTGTGGGAATGATGACGTAGATGAGCAGCATGCCTGAACGGAGACACGTGACAACAAAGTGAGACCTGAGTCCGTCAGGGGTCAAAGGTCACAGGTCACATTTGTCTGTACCTGAAGCTCCAGCCATGGTGACCTGAGGGGGATCCTCCTCGCCACCTGATTGTTTGACCACACCTTCACCTGTCGTCACCTCTGAACACACAAACACACACACAAACAAACACACACACACACGTCGAAGTCAAATCAGTGATAATATTTAGATAAAACAGAACATCTATTATTATTTATTTATTAAAGGTTTGTTTAGGGTTTAAATGTTGGTTGTCAAACATCTAGATTAAAATGTGTCAGTAGCTCTTTGTAAATGATTAATATTTGTTTTTTTAAACCATCTATAAATGTTTCTTAGATGATTGTCTGAGAAGGAGAGACTGAAGAGGTTCAGGACTCAGGAGAGGAGCCAGATTAGGAAACATTTGACCATCAGACTCCAGATCCTGGTCTGTTGGGTTCACTAAGGTCCAAGAGGGTTGGAGGAAGAAGAGGTGATGCAAAACAAAGTCATCATGTCGCTCTTATCTTTGATGAGAACTCTGCCTTATTTTCATGTAAATACAGGGTTTGTGTGAGTTTTTATGAGTGTGCTCAAACTTTCTGTTTATTCTGAATCATTAAAATGTTTTCTTTGAACAACAGTTGGTTTTTCAATCAAACTCGGCAATTTAGGAAGAAAACAGAAATAATTAAATGATTTTTCAGTCCAAGTGTTTCAAACTCACCTGTGCCCGGTGCTTCTGGTGGTTCCACCTGTTTCTTTCCAAGTTGGCTCTCTGAGAGACAGAGAGAGAGAGAGAGCGAGAGAGAGAGAGAGAAACAAGGTTAAAGAAAGAGGGCGGGGTTTCTGGTTGTTTAAAAATGTCCCTTTAATTCATACAATCCTTAAAGTCATGGTTGACCATTGTAGAAATTGTTAATTATTATGAACCTCGTTTCTATGGCGATCATGGTCCTATATTGTGATCAGAAAAAAGTGAAGAGAAAAAAGATCGGAAAAAATCTGTTCACCCTATCAGGTACAAGGCTGCAGAAACATTGACCAATAGGAGGCATCCATCCCAGACAGCTCCTATTGGTCAATCTCCTGCTCCTGTTCTGACTCGTCCCCTCCCACTCTCCCGGTCCTCCTCGGAGCTCTGAGCGGCTAAAAGTAGCGTAGCAGCTTAGCTACAAGAGCAGTGATGGAGAAGGACGCAAAAAAAAAAAACTTCTGCTCGCCCCACCGCCAAAAGTGCGAAAACAACGCAAACGCTGACAGAAGAAAGGGCGGAGTCGAAGAGGACATGTGACCAAGCGAGGAATCTAACGTGAATTAACATCGGGTCATCCTTGGAGCGGTGGAGAAAACAGACGCAGAGACAGCAGAGTTTTAGTTGAACAGGTCATTTTTATCTCCTTTTATCGTGGCTCATGTTACATAAATAACTCTGATTAGTCTCTGACATGTCAACACGGTCAAGGAGACCATGAGGGGCGACTAAGAATGAGTCTGGGTAAAATTCGTCCATTTGACTTTTAATGACCTGCAAGTCAATCAGGCGTTAAAAAGAACAGTCACTGATTGGCTGATGGTACCTGGTTTGTTTGACTGAAATTATCTGATTGGTTGATGGTACCTGGTTGGTATTTGCAGATGAAGTTGTGTTTCATGTTGCAACGATCGTCGTTCCATTGGTAGAGATAAGCTCCGCCCAAACCAGGAAGTGCAGTTGGCTGATGGTACATCACAACGCAGGATTCTCCTCCACAAGACGGCTCATCGAAATACCAGTTCCTACGTCAACATCACATGATATTATTGTCGTTGTTATGTTATCGATTGTGTTTGACTGACAGGTTTGTTGATGCTCCTCCCTTCATTCTTCACCTGAGACTCACCTGAAGGAGGCGGGGCTTCCATCTGTCCAGTAGTAAAGCTGTGGGCAGGAAGTGAAGGTGTTGGTGAGTTCAGGCTGATTCTGCTCGCCTCCGTCCACCCGAGTCAGACCAATCCAGAAATCGCCATCGGCTATCCCCCCTCCTCCGCCTGCCCCGCCCACTGCTCCTGAACGCAGCTCCTGAAGAGGAAGAGGAAGTGATGTCAGGCAGGTGGAGAGGAAGAAGATAAACCCTGATGAGGGCGGAGGTGTGTGATTTACCTGCAGCAGGTTTTCAATGTCCTTCTGCTCAGCCGCGCTCTCGATGCTCAGCAGCGATCCCCCGTCCGTCTCGCAGGCCAGACACGCCTCCTTGAACGCCACGCGGCTCGATACGTCATGGAAATAAGCGATCTTATAACAAGGACGCTCTGGACCTCCAAGACACACCGTCTGACCTGAGAGAGGAACACAGACAGTCAGAGTCCCGCCCACAGGAGGTGAACTGACCCCCGAACTTAGTCTTAGAGGAGTCCTGAGGTTCTGATCATAAATGTTCTTCCTTGAGCTGCGGCACCCCACTGTAGTCCATAATGGAAGAGAGCTGGAAGAGAGTAGGTGAGTTGTGTTTAGTCTCTTAGACAAAGTTGTTTGGTGTCCAGTACTATGTCTGTGACCCTATATGTCCTGTTGATGAAGTTAGGTGCTGTTCTGAGCATTATTTGTGGCTATAGAGTGGCGTTTTGGTTGAGGGCGTGGCTCTCTGTATTGCTATCCTGCGGTCGTTACTAAAGTTGGTATAACTAGAGAAGTAAGCGGTCGACAACATTCATCTCTGGAGGGGGGGTCTAACTCGGTGTTACTCGTGTTTGACCCTAAATTAATTTTACGCCGGAATATCCCTTTAAGGATTCTTAAACAGGTTGGATCTGGTCGGCCTGGTTGTACAGCCTGAGGTTGTGTAACTCGGGCTGTTTTGCAGGAACCAAAACTTATCGGTCTGTTCAAACTTTTAGGGCCAGTGTCGAGGAAAACTGAAAAATAATCCAAACAACTAGTGAAAGTCAGAAGAGTTTCTCACGCCCTGGACGACCTTCTGGTGATTAAACACACACATTAGAGGCACACAACTGTACTACACATTAACACACACACGTCTTTGTTCAGATTTTGTCATTTTTACTGGTCGAATAAGTGATTCAGGCTCTGAATCAGAAACATGATGGTGTCAGCTGTGAAGGTATTTTGGCCTCATAGGAGGAAATGAAACTCCAGCGTTTATCTTCATCTCCAGGCTGGATGATGTTCACATGACGAAGGTTCAGGGCAGAAAAACAGCAGGTATAAATCAGGGCCGTTTGATGCTCACAGTGTTGTGACCGAGCGTTTGCTGTTATGGCGTGTTCAGGTGTTTAAAGGATGTTTCTAACATGGTTTAATAGAGACCTGATCTGAGCGCACAGGCTGAGTTTGCTGATTCCTGAGGAGGAGCAGAATCTGCAGAGAGAGAGAGAGAGAGAGAGAGAGAGAGAGAGAGAGAGAGAGAGAGAGAGAGAGAGAGAGTCTGCAGTGATTAATACAGAGACTGGTTAAAACAGGCTCTGAGCTACTTTAAGTGATTAGCTGGATTCTCTTCTGCACCATCATCACTTTACTGTTAAAGCCACTACACAGCTCCATATATATCTGTCTACTATCAGAGCCGCTCTCTCTCTCTCTCTCTCTCTCTCTGCAGACTGTAACTCAGTCAAAGACAACAAACCAGCGCTTCATGACTCCAGAGTCTGCTCCCAGTCGCCTCACTGTATGACTGATTTACAGCTGAAATGTTCGACTGCCTCCAGCTGAGCAGGAACTGTGAGGAGGGGAATTTGTCTGTTAGAGATCCTGTTACACCTTAAATAAAATTCAATATCTGTAAATGTAATTCAGCGTTTTCACATCGCGACCATTTCCTCTGACATCTGGCTCAGGGTGTGAATTATAAACAGTGTTACAGTGCGATACTGTGAGCTCCATTTAGGTTTCCAAATCACTTCCATCTCTGGATCGATGAGAAACTGTGAAGACAAAAGACGGTCGAACTCTCGGGTGACGTGGGATCATATTTACAAATAAAACATATTTAATAACCTGTTAGCGACAGCAGCTAATGTTAGCGCTCCACCGATCTTTAACAAGCTAACATGAAGAGCTCAGCCGTCTGTGAATCCAGAGAAGTCAACTTTTTAAATTCATGTTAAACTTTGAACTTAAATTTGGATTTTTTTCATGTGAGGTTTTTATCAAAGTAAACACGCTAATTTGAACCACGCCATCGAAAGCACACATGGCTCACATACAGTCAGTTAATGTGATTGATTGATTGATTGGTGAGTCTGTTTACGCCATCATGTGGTCCAGTGACGCCAAAGTGACCGAGGTCTTTCCACAAAAAAACAAAGACAAATCTTCTCGACGTTGTTTGTCCTTTTTGAAATAAAGCTCTAAAATTCTTTAACCAATAATAAAAAGTTAAATGAAGTTAGTTTTTATTTCTAACAGGAAATAGGAGTTAAAGCTCAACGTGAGTCAACGGCTGAGTGAGACACACCCTAAAAAAACATCAACAAAGAAAAAAACTACAAAAACACGGTAACGCCGATCTGTATCCTGGTGTTTTAATCAAGTTTTTTTTAAGAACTATCATCAGGTAGAAACAGACTTTTAAAACACAGAGATGAAGACGGTAAATCTATTTCAATCAATGTCTATGTTTACAGACAAAAACCAAAGACTGAAATGAACCAAAGAGCAGAAAATAAAAACACACTTCCTCTGATATATAATCCAAAAAATCTATCATCAATATCTCAACACAATAACAGGAGTATAGATTTTAAACAACATCATGGACCAGGTTACAAGAGTTAAACCTGATCCAGATAAAAACCCTGACCGAGAACCAGAGGCGTTCAGTTTAATAAAAGAAAAAAGATCTGAACTAAAAAGATAAATCAGGGCTAAAAAAGAAAAAAAGGGTGAATTTGGTTGATTTCGGCGTCTGTGAGGATTATAAGAAACTAGAATATTATAAAATAAAAATCTAAATGATCCTACAAGGACGTTTTAAAGGTCGATGTTTATTTGGCTGATTCAGAGTCAAAGTGTGAGGAGAAAAAAATCAAAACAAGAAAATGGAGCTGAAGTGTTTGGAGAAGTGACTTTTATTACGAGAATAAAGTCCAAGTTTTACAGAATAATACACAAAATTTAATTTATAGTTTTATGAGAATATCGTCGTTTATTATGTCGTGAGAAAACAGTCACAGTATGAGGAGAATAAAATCTAATGTATTAGAGAGTGAAGTGGGATTTAGTTTTTTTATGTTGTGAGAATAAAGTCCGAAATCTGGGAGATTATAATGTTTAGAAAATTAAGTCCTAAAATCACAAGAAGAAAGTTGAATTAAGTGGAAATAAAACAAGAAGAAAATCAGGTTTTAATGTCAAAAGAAAAAAGGAAAATGCAGTCTCAGTTTAGAGAGAATAAAGTCATAAAATCACAAGAAGAAAGGAGTTTACGGGAGAGAAGAAAGTTTAATTTTTACAACAACAAAGTGCTCCTAAATGAAGCTGTAAGATGGCGACCTGTGTGGACACTCTGTCTGTAGTTTCATGACTTTGTTTGACACGTCGGTTTAACTCTGTGGTATTTTGTACAGAAATAAAGTGATTCGTTTAAAGATCATAAAAATAATGAGTCATATTAACACAAGAATAAAGTCGTCATATTAGGAGAATACAGTTTTTTATTCCTCCAGGTTATTCAGTATAAAGGAAAACAGAGTTAACGCCTTTTTGTTATGAATTTAAGTTTTAGTTTTTTATTTACTCTCATTTTCTGATCTTGTTTTTTTCCTTGTTATTATTTTTTGTGTTGCTTTAATCTTCGTCATGATGCACAACACTCAAAGATCATTCATGTCCTGTTCACTGTGATCATTCCTGCTTCATTAGACTCAGTCATTGGTCAGCCTGTCAACCAATCACAGCCCAGTACACCACAAATTCAATTAATGATTTTAATTCATCCTAAATTTGGAGTCGCCATGACAACGACCATGTTTAAAATGATCCAACAAAGAGACTAAACGGGTAAAACAGAGATGTACAAACTCACCGCTCACAACACGCGCTCCACTGGACTGGACGATCATCACCATGACGACCCCGACTGTCAACAGCATCGCCGTGTGAAACGTCGTCATTTTTCTACGAATCAAAATTAAAGAAATCTTTGAGTTTGTCCGACTAAAATAATCCGGTTTCCTCTCAGACCTCTGACAAACTCTCCGCTCTGCGCTCTCTCTCCATCGCTGTCTGCTGCCTCTCTCACCCGACACTGATGTGTGTGTGAGGGGGAGTGTGTGAGGAGACGGAGAGAGAGAGAGAGAGAGAGAGAGAGGGAGTGTGTGTGTGAGTCCCGCTCGGATCAGCCTCCCTCCCCCTCTGATCGATCCCTCTGAGCTCAGATGTTTCCTCCTCTTTCATTAAACCCTGGGGGACCACACACACTCTCAGTTTAATTTACTCTCACACACACTTTCACACACACTTCCACACACACACACATAGAGGACTCTGATTGGTTCCCATCAGAGCAGCTAATCGATGTATGAAGCAGTTATGACAGACTCTGCTGATCTCTTTTTTATGGATGTGTGTGAAGGTGTGAACCTCGTCTGATCCTCTCACTTATCGTTATTATTATTTATTTATTTATTTACTTTGTTTACATGACAAAAATAAACAAATACCGACACTGTGGTACCTGGTTCAAATACGCCTGCAGCTCATCCTTAAAGTCAGTGAAGTTATCACGGCGAAGGTTGACGAAGATCATCACTGTGAGGTCTAAGATAAACCTCCTTCAGGGACAATAAAGTCTCTCCTGTCTTAGGACCTCGAGGAGCAGTCAGAGGGAGGAGGTGTCTGGTGTTTCTTCTCTTTTGCAGATGATGTGGTTCTGTTTCTATCATCATGTGTTGAGTTGGACCTGCGGCCTCCAACCCAAACAGAACAGACTAAAACGACACAGAACCACATGATCCAGAGGGGCAGGAAGAGAGGGAACGGCTGAACGCTCCAGTTCAGGGCAGTGATGTTGTCGGGGTGGAGCTGGACTCCCTGGATGCTGTCCAAGCTCCACCCCATACTGGACCATGTCTCTCACCCTCTCCACAGTGAAGTGGTCCTACAGAGGAGGAGAACCTTCAGCAGAAGGATCCTCACTCCACGATGAACCACGGAGCGCCACGGGAAATCTTTCCTGCCTGTGGTCATCAGACCTTTTAACTCCTCCCTCAGAGACTCTGACGCCCTCAGTCACAGTTTCACATGCATATGATAGATAGATAGATAGATAGATAGATAGATAGATAGATAGATAGATAGATGTTTTATCAATTATATCTTTTATTGATCTATTATTGATCTATTATTTATCTCCTCTTTTACTGTATTTGCTCTGGAGTTACTGTGACAGAAACCATTTATTTTATTCAAGTATTTCTGATTCTGATTCACTTCTGGAAAACCGTGGATTTCTCCCTCGGGTCGTTGGGAGTGAATTTTTCCCGGCTGTGACTATGTGTCAGACCCGGTCCACGTGTCGTGGGTCTTGTTAAGACTGGGGTAAAAATTGATTGAGAGATTTTCAGATGGATTGGTGCTGAATCAGCAGTAATGCCGACACTGAGCTGGACTGACGTAGTGAAGTGAGTCCTGAGACTGAAGACCAAGTCTTTCCCAACCAAGAATAATCATAATAATAATCATAATAATCATAATAATGCTTCAGGTTTGTTTATAACACTTTATCAGAAACCCTCAGAGCTCTTTACATGGATCCATCATTCATTCATTCATTCATTCATTCATTCATTCATTCACACAGTCACACCCTGGTGGTGGTAAACTACCTTAGTAGTCACAGCTGCTCTGGGGCAGACAGATGGAAACATGGCGGCCAGTTTGTGCCTATGACCTCCCGACCACCAACACACAACACTCACAATCACACACACACACAGGTGGAGGACACACACTGGGAGCAGAGTGGTTAAGTGTCTTTCCTAAGGACACAATGAACAGACTCGGGATAGGGGGGAATCGAACCGCCAACCTTCCAGTTATTGGACGACCGCTCTACCTCCTGAACTACTGCCGCCCCACAAATCCACGTTCCAACCCTGTCCTACCGACAGGAGCTGTGGTCAGTGACCAGATGAATGAGACTGGGAACACTGGTGACAGGTGAAGTGGGACTTCCTCCAAGGACTGCTGGGCTCAGCCTTCAGTCTGGGTATCTGAAGGACCCAGTTAAGATAAACGCAGAGTCTGCTGAAGGGTCATGAACTCCACTTATCAACTTTCTACTTAGCTAGGCTAAAAGTTATCCACAGTTTGACTTTGGGGGGGCCTAAGATGGAGCTAAGCTAACAGCTAAAGCTAGGCTAACAACTAAAGCTAAGCTAACAGCTAGCTGAAGAAACAAACTGTGACAGAGGAAGAGAAAAGGAGGTCGAGGTTCTTCATGGCCTGGAGCCATCGAACCAAACAGCTGACCTCATCATCTTCATCACCATCTTCATCACCATCATCATCACCATCATTATCTTCATCAGTGATGTCAGATCAGCTGCTGCAGCAGAAACGTCGTGTTTCCTGCTGGAGTGAGAGAGAGATGATTAATAACTGAAGAACTTTGACTTCCAATCAAACTCTGAAAGTTTAAATTCTTTAAACTTATTTTTTTCTCATTTCTGTTTGATAATGTTGAAGATAAATGTGTGTGATGTCTGAATAAATATGAGACAATGTACAGAGAACAAATGAGTTTCCTTTCAGGATGAATAAGTTAAGATTCGACATTACCGACTCTGGCGCCGTGATGCTTCACGGTCCAGATCTTCATCAGTCCAATCTTCACTTCTGAGAACAAAAAAAGGAAGTTTAAACAGATTCTCTGTGTTAAAAACAGAAATTTCATTATGAGGTTTATTAAAATTAATACATGAATCTTACAACATGAATCATCGGATGACCTTCGTTTTTCAAGGGACTGGATCCGTCCGTCAACATGTTTCACCGCTGTAAAGCTGCCGGTCTCACAAAGTCAGTAGATTTTACAGTAAGTCAGTTCGGTACCATTTGGGGATTTTGACCTTGAATTGTAAGAACAAGAATATTCAGTGTCGCAGCTTTTTGGACCGCTCCTGTTTCCTGTCTGACATGATTACATCCTCGGTTGTTATTTGCTTTGACTTCCTCCTGAAACGCATCACTTCATTGTTTTGCAGAAATAAGTGGAAGGCATCAATAAGGTAGACAATGGTGTCAGTGGCTCAAACTCGTTGGAACCAGATCTGATTTGGAGCCAGTTTTCGATCCCCACTCCCTGCCAGGGTCCTGCTCACCAACTAAAGTCCAGTTTAGATGTAATAATAAAAATCAAGACAGACTTTTCTCTTTAAAAAATCTGTTTGTTGTGAAAAGGATCTGCACACAGATGGAGTGATCGTCCAGGGCCAGGAGTCATTTTGCAATAAAAGATCGCGAAATGTGTCGGAAACATCAACGCAGATTGATTATGACAAATGTGGTCGTGATTACTGAGTGTTTAAAGCTGTTTGGAGTTTAGACCAATCAGAGTTCAGTATTTATACAGACAGTCTGGTGGTGTAGCAGGTAGAGAGGAGGCTCAGGTGTGTGTTTGTACGATAATGTGAATCATAAATGATAAATATGTAAACGGATCAGGTGTTTGTGTGTCTGACAGTAGATGGTGCCGAGCCGATACTCAGACACGGTCTGGTTTATGTTCCCCTGATGATGAACTGAAATCAATCAGAGCCTGAGCTGCTTCCAATCACGCTCACTACTCCGTATTGACCACCAGAACAGGACCGATCGGTCTTTGAACGCAGCACGGAAACATTCAGCACGCCACCGCCAGCCTGACAATCAATCCATCATCTGTTCATTTAGACGTCCATCATCCTCCGATCAGCCGTCATCCTGCTATTCTTCATCCGTCTGTTCAGACACAAAGAGAAGAAATAACAGGTTAGAGTGAAAATGAAGTCCTGATTCAGTCGACAGGACGTCCAAAAACCACCACAGACCGGTTTACCGACCACGTTAAAGGGAAATTCAGGCTTGAAATTAATTTAGGGTCAAACACACTGTAACACCGAGTTAGACCCCCCCTCCAGAGATGAATGTTGCCGACCAATACAGAGAGCCACGCGCTCAGCCAAAACGCCACTTTATAGCCACAAATAATGCTCAGAACAGCACCTAACTTCATCAACAGGACATTTAGGGTCACAGCCACGGACTACAGCGGGGTGCCGCAGCTCAAGGAAGAACATTTATGATCGTTTTTTCATGGAAATACAATCAGACAGAGACCTTAAGACAGAAGAACTACCGCATCTGCAGTTCAAAGTGATTAATATGGTGATTATTACTTCAAGGAAATGATAAAGAAATGATCATAAATGTTCTTCCTTGAGCTGCTGCACCCCGCTGCAGTCCGTGGCTGTGACCCTATATGTCCTGTTGATGAAGTTAGGTGCTGTTCTGAGCATTATTTGTGGCTATAGAGTGGTGTTTTGGTTGGGGGCGTGGCTCTCTGTATTACTATCCTGCGGTCGTTACTAAAGTTGGTATAACTAGAGAATCAAGCGGTCGACAACATTCATCTCTGGAGGGGGGGTCTTACTCAGTGTTACAGTGTGTTTCACCTTAAAGTAATTTTACGCTGGGATATCCCTTTAATACCTGATTGGCCATAAGTCACCTGGTTTAGACCTTAAAAACTCAGACCAGCTCAAGTCCTCGATGGAAGCGGTCTGGGCGTCATTAAGACCTCAGCAGAGTTTCAGGCCGATCCTCAGATCCAGAGACTCAGAAGACGGTGATGAAGACAAACAAACACTGTTGGTGGTTAGTGTTTTTATACTCTGACAGGAAAGTGTGTGTGTGTGTGTGTGTGTGTGTGTGTGTGTGTGTGTGTGTGTGTGTGTGTGTGAGGTCAGATCATCTTACCGACACACTTACACTCTGAAACTCAAGCTGTGTGTGTGTGTGTGTATGTGTGTGTTTAACACGATTATGTGTAACAGTAAGACGCCGTGCTGGGCGTGTTGAAGGTGTTGGCGAGGACGGGATGGAGGTAAAAGACTGATCCTGTTGTTAAATTTGTGAGTCTCTCTGTGTGTACTTGTTTGTGTATTTTGTGTCCGTGTCTGTGTCCACAGCTTGAACCCGAACTCGGCGTCTCAAACAGAAAGTTCAGCTGACCGTCAGACAAACACACAAACTTCACTGTTTGTATAAACATGTTTAACATAACGAGGTCTGGAACACACACACACACACGCACACACACACACACACACACACGCACACACACACATACGCACGCACACACAACCACATAATGACCTGTTAGATCTCCCTCCATTCTCAGTATTGATCTCCGTATTGATTCTCTGCAGGCGGCTGATCGTCTCCGTCCAGAAACACACTCCACTTAGTGCTGATTACCACACACACACACACACACACACACACACACACACACACACACACAGTTAACCTCGGTCAAGAGAGAAAAAAGAGGAGGATGAGAGCCGTAATAGTTTCAGAGTATTTAAAGGTTTTCTGCAGGACCAGGTTCCACTTTGACCCGGTTTGTTTTTGCAGAACTTTGGGTCTCTGAGCCAAAAACAAACTCAAACTCTCATCTGCAGCAGATTCATTCACATGAAGACACAGTGAAACTGAGACTCAGTGGAGTCAGGTGGAGATGGACGTAAACCAAGAGCCAGCAGAGAGAGACGGAGTTACATAAACAATGAAGAGACAGCGGAGACCAACAGAGACACAGTCAAACTGAGACTTTAGTGAGACAGACACATTAACATTGTAACTGAGACCAGATAATAACATACAGAAGTACAGTGATGAGAGTCCGCAAAGTTTGATCATGATACAGAAAACTGAGACTCCATGAAATAAGAAGGAGAGAGCGGAGACTCAGCAGGAACAAAAACCCAGTGGAGAGAGATAATGATACAGTAAACTGAGACTCAGACAGATGGAGAGACAGTAAAACTCAGACCCAGACGGATCACGATACAGTAAAACTGAGACTCAGTAGAGACAGACAGAGTTAGAAAATGAGACTCAGTCAGGTTGACATATCAGACAGTGAGATTACAGGGACAGATGGAGAGACAGTGAAACTGAGACTCAGACATAAAGCTGATTCTCAGCTGAGACCGAACACTGAAAGGCCATTTGAAAGTCCTGGTTCTGATTCCAGTCTGGTTAACAGGACTTAAAAATGGAGTCTGGTCAACACGAAGAGGTTTAGAACAGCTGTAAGGAGGAGACATTTACCCACCTGAGAGAAAGTCCAGGTGAGGACGGAGTTTGTTTTTAGTGTTAAAGAGTGAAAAATGTAAAAATTCAGATTATTTCATAAAACACAATCAGTGTCTGTAAGTGTGTGTGTGTGTGTGCTGTCATAGGGCTGATCAATAAACTCAAGTGGTCCCTAAACTCTAACAGTGAGGTCAATAAGGTTAATTAGTGTGTGTGTGTGTGTGTGTGTGTGTGTGTGTGTGTGTAAATGCCTGCAGAGTATTGACGAGAAGAGAAAGCTAATTATTTCAGAGGCTGAATCACTGGAAGCCATCAATTACACTCTTATTACACACACACACACACACACACACACACACACACACACACACACACATACACACACACACACACACACACACACACACACACACAGTATTGATCTCTGTGGTCAGCTGTGTTTTATTGTTTGGTCGACAGGAAGTTTTAACTGCATTAACTGTCCTGTCATAAGCTGTTGGGAACCCTTTAAGGACCTGGAAATCCCTTAAGGATGAGTGTTTTTTTCAAGGCTCCTTGAACCTCCTGGACTTTAAACTCTAAAAGGGAATCACTGAAACTTCTCCAGGGCCTTGAATTCACATCAGAAACACCCACGTGTTCTCCAAGACTCCTGGAACATTTTCATAAACACCAAAACTTCCAAAAGAACCAAATTCAAGGACCTTCTTAAAACCTGGAACTCCTGCGGCTTCAACAAGTCCTTCAGAGACATCCTCAAGTCCTGGAATTTTCTCCAGGCTCACTAACAACTACACAAGGACTCCTGGGAAATATTAAAGATGAGTGGAACTTTTTCAAAAACTCTTTAAGAGCTGCTCAAGGACCACTGGGATGTGATGATGGTTATTTTGAGAACAGTGACACCTGGTGTTCAGAAGCTGTAATAACACTCTTTCAGAAAGGACAACTGGACTTACTTGAGACGTTTCAAGTAAGTCCAGTTGTCCTTTCAACGTAGAACTGGAAATCATAGATGCTGTGTCCTTAGTTTTAAACAATATCTCCAGGTTTAGGACGAACATCTGCGTCCATCCAGACAAGACCTTCATTTGATCCCAAACCACATTCTGACATGATAAAGAAATGATCAGAAATGTTCTTCCTTGAGCTGCGGCACCCCGCTGTAGTCCGTGGCTGTGACCCTATATGTCCTGTTGATGAAGTTAGGTGCTGTTCTGAGCATTATTTGTGACTATAGAGTGGCGTTTTGGTTGAGGGCGTGGCTCTCTGTATTTCTATCCTGCGGTCGTTACTAAAGTTGGTATAACTAGAGAAGCAAGCGGTCGGCAACATTCATCTCTGGAGGGGGGGTCTAACTCGGTGTTACGGTGGGTTTGACCCTTAATTAATTTTACGCCGGAATGTCCCTTTAACCTCATTTTTTTTAGGTCTCAGGAATCGTTTGATAAAGATGAAGGTGAAACTGTTTTTTTAAACTTCAGTTTTAAACTTTATTGACGCTGAAATGTTTCAAAGGAGAAAATCTGCAGATATGTTCAGTAATACTGTCAGCACACAGTCACCTCACTCAGGTGTCGCTGAGACTCCAGGCTCATTCAGGTTTGGTTCATCTGTTCAATAAATACTTTTCCAGGTCCTGTAAAACAAGGACCTCCCGGTCCTAACTTCACAGTGTCTTCCCCAGGACTTTCAAGGTTTTCCAGGACTTTCAAAGTCTGTTTAAAGAGTCTGCTGGTTCCAGGAATCCCTCTCCCTCCCAAAGAAAAAGAATAAAATACTCCAGGATATGTCGGACCGTCTCCATGCAGCGTTTCAGTCCGAACTGATATCTTCTTAAAAACATAAAAACATTCAAATCAGCTGATCGATAAAAACGAAAAAACACTGAAAACGATTAAAGACAAATGATTAAAGAGTCACTAAAATATGTCCGTCCGTCATGTGATCATGTGATGTCATTGTTCTCAGTTCTCTAGCTGCCATTGCTGCGTCTGCGATGCGTCACATATCGCCATGGAGACGTAACCCTTGGGTCCGATTGGCTGAGCGACAGCAAGACACTGACCGACCGACACCTGATAGAGACGATTCGACTTCTACAGGAGAGAGAGAGAGAGAGAGAGAGAGAGAGAGAGAGAGAGAGAGAGAGAGGAAGAGAGAGAGAGAGAGAGAGAGAGAGAAACACAGAGGTCTCATTTACAAACGCTGAACTGTTAAAAAAAACGAACTGAACCCCCAATTTTCACGGCATCCGGAACAGCGGCGGTTTTCACTGCCCGCCAATTACGATCAGCTACGATCAGAATGAAGGTGGAAATTGGGGGTTAGAGGAACTTCAGTATTTATCGACCTAGACCCTATTCTCAGGTGTGTGTGTGTGTGTGTGTGTGTGTGTGTGTGTGTCTCACCCCTAAGCTCCACTGCTGGGACCCCCCTGAGCCGTGACACTTCATCAGTCTGGGGGGGTCAAAGGTCCTGACCTCTGACACGTCCAGACACAGCAGACCCGCCAGGACCAGCTGACCCTCCTCATCGTAGGCCCACTCCTAAACAAACACAAACACGGGTAGGGTTGGGTATCGTTTGATTTTGAACGATTCCGATTCCGATTTCGATTCCTCATTTCGATTTCGATTCCTATCGATTCTTTATTTCGATTCTTTTAAAAGGCAGGATATCATAAAAAAAAAAGCATGGTTTGAATGAGGGCGCTAACCGGAGCTCTTCCTTTTGGTTGTAATTTCTGAACTTCTCCATGAATTTTTAAATCATATTAACTTTTTAGGAACTTTACTATGAATTTCTCACATTTTCAACCAGTATATAAATATCATTTTTTGTTTTCAGGTCGTTTGTCTATGAAAAAGTACAAGGGCTAACGTTAGGTGGATATTTAAGTTGACCCACCGTACACAGTTCAATTTCTTTACCGTTTCAAAGTTAGCAGAGGACAGAAGTCATTTATTGTTTCACTTATCTGATCCTGACTGGTTAGCGGAAGACAGGTGTTGTGCTGTAGAATGCCTCCCCTCCACTGATTAGCTTCTTAAAGTGGAAGACAATGATCTCATATTTAAAAAAACACGAGTATTAGATCATGAAAACGTGTCAAATGGAGCAGTAAACTTTCGTTTCGTTTTTCTGTGTCTCAGAAACGCACACATAGAGGTGTACTTGGGTATATAAACGGCAGGGTAAGCTGTTAATGTAGAGAACATTATATTTTCAGGACAGTAAATATTCTGAATCAGAGGGCTATTGTTTTCGGCATATCTGAATAGCCTGAATGAAATCATTAAAGGCACACGCTTTAGATTCCGTCCAACGGTAAGGAAAACTTGGATTGTTTCGCCTTGTTGTGTACTTTCAACCGCGCTCCCGTCAGGGGTGCATTCTACGACACAACACCGGCGAAGCGCGTCAAAGACGAGCACTCGGGTATTTCTCCTCCATGAATCCTGAGGTGTTTAATCATGTTGGTCGTTTACCCTCCTTTGCATGATATAACTGTATTGCTAATGTTGCATTGAGATAAGAGCTCATTCTTCCTGCTAAAGTTAGCCAAACTTTTGACCAACGAAGAAGAAGCTGCCGAACACCAACGAGGACGGAGCGTACGAGACGAAGCCGCACAGAGAGAGGAGAGAGACAGAGAGAGATTGTAACCCACAGCGGCTGCATTGCTGTGGGTTACAATGTACTTTCTCTCTCTGTCTCTCTCCTCTCTCTGTGTGGCTTTGTCTCATACGCTCCGTCCTCGTTGGTGTTAAGCGGCTTCTTCTTCGTTGATTTTCGGCGGCTATTTCTTCCGGTCGGCGGACTCTGGCATCGAAACTTGGAATCGAAATTTTAATATTTGAACGATACCAGAAGAATCGAAGTTTTAGTCTCGATTCCCACGATTCTCGATTCTCGATACCCAACCCTAAACACGGGTCACGTCAACAGACCCGGTTCTCCTGCTGGTCTAAAAGGATGGACCACCTGACGCAGTAACCTTTAGGGGGCTCACCTGTTCAGGATCTCGAGGGTCACATGGTCGCAGGACGACCACTCCGCCCTTCTGACTCGGTCGGCCCTGAGCCACCAGGCAGCGCCCGGTTGCGAGGTTGCGAAGCTGAAAGATGGCGGACAAAGAAAGTGTGAGTGAGATTTGTTCAGTGAGACGACATCATCGTCCTCCAGGATGTGTGTCAATAAAGTTTAAAAAAAAGGTCTGAAAACATGAGCGGCGGAGAAACACAGAATGATGCGTTTAAGTACCCGTCCTCTGTGCAGGACTTTTGGACGTTTCAGTCCTTTGTTGATGAAGACAGGCTGCTGCTTGTTGCCGTTGGCAACAGTCTGCATCTCCGGGTAGACGTTGTCAAGGTACCATTTGAACGAGTGACACTGCAGCCGCTTTCTCAGCGCCACACGCTCGCTAACATCGCCAAAACTCCGCTCCCTCAGCTCAGGGCGCAGAGACAGATACTGCTCCTGATTGGACCACAAGAAGTGATGTCACCAACAGTCTGGTTTACCGCTAACACACTCTTAAATGTGTGTGTGTGTGTGTGTGTGTGTGTGTGTGTTTGTGTGTGTATACCTTGTACTCATCCATCCACACGTTGGCCAACCGCAAGGAATTATGTGCCATGGTGTCCTGCCCCCCCGGCGAGCCGTACGGGCGTCTCTTCCTGAAAATGTGACCGACTCTGGAGCATGGGACGATCAACAGCTGACCGCCACACATCCAGATCTGAGAGAGAGAGAGAGAGAGAGAGAGAGAGAGAGAGAGAGAGAGAGAGAGAAACACACATATTTGTTTTTACAGCACTATCGGGACAAAGAGAAAATGACTGTTTCGTGTTTTCCCATAAATCACCACCAGGGGTCACTGTCACAGTTTTTCGTTATTTGTAAACGGCGTTACCTTCACTGGCGGTCGGTGAATCACAGTACTCACCCTGAAGGAGATCTCCAGGTTTTCCCCGCCCCAGATGTCCATGCCTGCGTCGTATTGGCCTAGCTCGTTGAAGTACTTCCTGTTCATGGCGAAGAGACCGCCTGCCATGGTGGGAGACCTGGGGGGGGGGGAAGAAAAACAGGTTAACTTATCAAGTCTCCTGGTTAGTTAACTGATTAGATAATAACTTGAAAGTTAGCTGGTTATTTAGTTACGTGACGAAACGGTGAGCCGATTAGCATGTTAGCATGTTAGCTAATAAGTCAGCTGGGCGAGTTTAATCTCACGTAACTTGTTACCTGATTAGACAGCTAGTTACATTATTGATGGATCAGCTGGTAAACTAGTCACCTGAATGAAAGGCGAACTGTTTCTCGATCGGTTAGTTTGATATCCAAACAGTCGACTAGTTTTTGGTTAGCTCTTTAGCTAGCTCTTATCGTAGTACATTCACTCATTTTTTAACATTTAGCTCGTTAACTGATCAACATGTTAATCAGTTAACTAGTGTTGCTTTTGTCAACGAACACTATGACAAAATAGCATCGTATTATATTATATAATATATATATATAAATATATACATTATAACTATTTTAACTGGGTTAAACAGAATTACATTATTAAGACGAGATTAAAACCATTGACTTAAACTCGACTGAAATAGTCATGGGTTATTCTGACTAACTCTAGACTAAAATGCTCAGAGTTTCAGTCGACTAACACTTCATTAAACAAAAATGATTTTGAACTAAAACTAATAAAACTAAAAAGACATTTTGACTCAAAGACTAAAAATAAAATGAAAACAGGCCGACAAAAACAACACAACAGTTAACCGATCGTCACAAGGTCATTCCACTGGTTAACTGGTCACCTGATCACATAAGTGGTTCTCTGATTGGTTACCTGATGGGTCCAGCCGCACCCTCGGGCCCGTTGAGCTGGGCAGGGGGGACGGGGTCCCACTTGAAGTGCAGCCCCCAGTTGAACCCCCCCCTGACGATGGGGGAGGGGGAGTAGGTGAGCGTGTCGGCGGAGATGATGTCGATGACGGGACAGACCACCGTGTGATGGTCCTTCATGATCGGCGTGAGCAGAGGCTGCAGCCAATCGGTGTTCACCTCGCAGTGACTGTCCAGGAAGACCAGCACCTCACCTGGACACACAGGAAGCACAGATCTAGTGTGTAGGGTGTAAGGGCACAGGAAACAAGGACATAAAGGTAGAGGAAGTAAGGAAGATGGAGGAATAGTGAAGGATCTACAGAACGAGGACTTAAGGATGTGTAGTTAGTATGTAAGGAGTTAGGATGTAGGAGGAATAACAGGAGAGGAGACAAGGACAATATGGGTGAAAAGGGTAGAAGGGAAGGATGTACCAGTTGCATGTGAGGCTCCTATCATGCGTCCTCGGATGAGTCCTTCCCTCTTCTGGTTCCTCACAACTTTCACTTTGTCATGAAGCTCCTCCTTGAGGTACCGATCCAGATCTCCCTTCAGCTCCTCTGGAAGAACCAGATCCGACAAGAATCAATCAGAGACATCAGAACCAATCAGAACGAGAGCAGGATTCAGGAGGCGGGGCTTGACCCGGTGTAATCAGGACATTCGGTCTGAAAACTCGGGATAATTCAGGCAGACTTTCTGTGACGTCGCTAGAACCTTCCTTAAACCCATATTTGGCTTGTTGAAACCCGGTCACCCCATCAGAAACAACCAATCACAAACAACCAATCACAAACAAGACATAAGATCAGACACTCTGTCCGCCTCAAATGAACTTTGATGGAAATAAAAAGGTTAAAAACACGCGTGTTACCGAGCTCGCTGTGGTCGTCCACCAGGATGATCTCATGCAGCAGGTACGCAGGTGTTCTGTCCATCACACTGTGGACCGTCCTCAGCAGGGCGGAGAACGCCTCGTTGAAGAAACAGATCACGATGCTGGCCGAAGGTAGAGCCAGAGGGTACACCTTATCTCTGCACCTGTACAGAGAGATCAACTCAGCTGTTCACCATCACCGACACGAAGATTACCATCAGTAACCAGCTATAAACTACCAGTGACCAGTTGTTCAATATCACACAGTCCCAGTTATAAGAAGTTATCAGCTGTTTACACTGCTAAACCATTTGCTGACTGTTATGTGCAGTTTTCTGATTATTTCAGAATAAAAAAGCTGTTTTTCTCTTTTACCAGCTGTTACCTGGTAAAACTGTGTGAGGGTCAGTGTGCAGATGAAGAAAGTGTTTACAACGGAGACGTCAATAAAGTTGGTTTATAGAGGACGGAAACGTCATGTGACAGCTTTACTGAGAGCAACTCACACACACACACACACACACACACACACACACACACACACACACACACACACACACACACACACACACAGAGATAATCCATTAACCAGCTGTCAGCCAGTTGAGTCAGGGTTAGCTCATCCTGTAACAGCAGGAGGTCAGAAAGTCGGCGGGTTGGTCAAGTTTCAACATAAACGCTCGTCCTTGACATTAGAAACAAACACACACACACACACACACACACAGACACACACACACACACAACCCTCCGAGCGGAATCCTGTTTATGTCTGTGTGTGTGTGTGTGTGTGTGTGTGTGTGTGTGTGTGTGTGTGTCCTCACTGAGGGTCTCTGGTGTCCGGCAGGTCTCGGTGGTATCCCAGTCTGGTGGAGATGAGGACGTTGAAGGCGTGTCGATGGTAGCCGGTGTCTCTGAGCTCCTGATCAGCCTCATTAAAGATCATCCCTGCAAACACACACACACACACACACACACACACACACACACACACACACACACACACACACACAGTATATAAACTTAATGCACATATTTTCTGTGATTGAGACATATTGAGTGGACCGAACAGGAAAGACGTAACTCACCCATCTCTGGTGACAGCTCTGCTCCCTTATTGGCTGGATGAGGCCAACGTCCCGCCCTTCGCTCTGCCAGGCCCTTGGTGATTGGCTGGCTACGGTGCTGCTGCAGCGGCATTCTGCCATGGCCGGGCTCCGCCCCCAGAGAGAAGTACAGGAAGAGGAGGAGGGACCAAGTCGCCGAGGTGACGAGGCAGCCATAACAGAAGTACCTGAGTGTGACACTCGCCATGATGGACGAGCGAGCATCGCCTCACATCACACCGCTACAGAGAGAGAGAGAGAGAGAGAGAGAGAGAGAGAGAGAGAGAGAGTCACACCCAGAGCTCTGTTTGTGTTGATTTTGGCGCCCCCTTTGGACAAAGCGGTTTCTCTTTGCCGGTCTAGTCCTGCACATGTGCAACACACCAGACGACTTTACAGCCGTTTTAGTAAAACGCATATTACTGGTAAAATTTCGGAATCAGTCTGTATGTTTCCATGACACTCAAGAAAACCGAATTATCGCCTTATTAAGACACCCAGATAATGTGATTGGAATTCGATTTTCTCTACCATGTAACTAGCGTAGTCGGAGTATGATCAGACAATACATGTGCACCACGCCCCCGTAAAGTGGCTCCATAAATCTGAACACAGTTCGGATTTTTACGATGTTTAAGTGAAATATTCACCCTACAAGAGGCGACCTTTGACTTTATAAGATCATTAACTTCAGACACATCCTCCCCTCTTCATGTTGTTTTCACTTTGAATTTACTTTTTGGTTTGAATGTGTTTCTATTAGGGGTGGGAGAAAAAATTGATTCACATAGGTCTTGCAATTTTTAAATCAATTTTTTTTTGTTTGAATTAAATAAAAAATCTTGAAAACTGACTCACATGTGGTGTGTATTTTTTTGGGAAATATGTTTTCCTGGAATAGTCAGTACACAATCATAATCATTCAACTGTTTCACTGGTGTTAGAAATGCAGACTAAAAATCTAAGAGAGTCGACAATATCGTAGAATCGCAATTTTAATCGAATTGGCACACAAAAAATCGTAGAAGAAAAAAAGCATATCGTCCGAGCTGGAGTTTCCACTGTGACTCTGTACAGTTTTACCAAAAAAGATATGTTTGCCAATACGTGTATTTGATGTTAAATAACCTTTTATTACAGTCCAGTTATGCAGAAAATCAACATCACATAGTGAGACACCTGAGATAGTGACTGTTACAGAGAGGACAGGTGTCAGGTGATCTCCTGGTTAATAAGTCTGAGGTGAGTGGGTCAGTAATTCACTCAGCCCCCTCCTCTTCATTCTCACACACTTTAATCATTCTGGATTAAAAGAAAAACAAAATAAGAAGTTAAAGGGAGAAATTAATCCTCCATTTGCTTCCTCAGCAAAACTCCATTCATGATTCGAACATTTTAAGCTTCTCCCTTAAATTCAACAGGCTGCAGATTAAATGTCATTTTATTTAAAATGCCTTTTAATTCAGGTGGATTTTCTCTTCAGTTCTGCACACAGAGGAGTTTATTTCCTCTGGTTTTAGCGCCATCTTTCAGACTTTAATCACCTGTTACTCACAAAAACACGCACTATGTTCACAAACTGCAGCACGGAGGACCTGTAATAAACAATGTCATTCTGCTCTATTTAAACGGATTTCAATCTTTATTTTTCAGCCGAATGAAAAGATAAATTATCACGATAGCATAAAGGAACTCTTTTTTCATAAATGTGTGGTAAATTTCTGTTTCACTTTAATCTGGCCTAAAATGCCAGATTTCAAGCGAGATTTGTCTTATCTTTAGCCATTGAGAAATCACAGTTTAAACAGAGCTTGTAGGATTCAACAGACTCTGAGATGATTAAAAAAAACACTTTTAATTTTTAATTTAATGTTAACTGAGAACATTTAATCAACATGACTGTAAAATAATTAAAAATAATCCAGATAAAGCTGCAGAGAGGTGACCGGACCGACGGTTCGGTTTGTTTTCCGGGTAAAAACACGCTGACAGTTCGCTGGGCTGACTCGAACATTAACCCTGCTCCGATTATTAACCTTTAAAAAATACGATTATTAACTAAACTCACGGTTTAAGGTCAAAGTTCAGCCTCTCTGCTGCGCCAACTAAACCCTGTCCGATAATGGAACCAGCTAGCTTAGCGGAGGTTAGCTTCCCTCACAGGAGGAATGTGCTAATACCTGAGCTTCACCTGAGCTTCATCCCACCCTAAAACACACCTGTGCCCCTGACTTTCACTCTGTAGCCTCGTAGGTAGTGTGTACTCACGGTTCATTGGTCTGTGGCGGTTTGCTCAGCGGCACTCCGGCCGGGCAGCTCCAGCCTGCCGTCAGGTAAGAGGTCAGTTAGCTCCGGAGCTAAAGTGAGCTAAAGTGAGGTGAGAGACGGAGGAGCTGCAGGTAAACAAACACACCGGTGACACCTGTAAACACAACACCTCTCAGAGTCTGGACCTCCGAGAGTCTGCAGCAAGTTTCTCACTGTAACATCATCAAGTTAGAGACAGAAGGGGTCACTTCCGCTCAGGACTTTCACAATAAAACACCTTGAGTGACCCTTTCAAAGAGAAACTCCACTTCACTATAAAACGTCAAAACTACAGGAATCTGAGGAAACGCTGGGCTGCGTCGCCCCCTGCTGTCTGATGGTGGTACTGCAGCCTCTGTGAATACAAACGCATACAAGTACAAAATTACGGTGGCCGAGAACAGCCAATGCTGCAAATAAAAAAGAATGCAAAAAAAGAAAAAAGAAACCACAACAGAAATAAGCAAAGAAAAAAAAAAATCAAAGCCTGCCACAAATAAAAAAAAGAAACGGTGCAGATCAAGAAAAAAAGCCACAGCAGAAGTTGAACTGCAGGATATGTGTAGTGTTAGCTTCAGTTTAACTTCATATCAACTCAGGCGCGACATGGTCTAAAATGACAAATTAAAAAGTTTACGATGTTAAATTAAACAATAACCTTTCCACAAACTTCTTTGCTCGTCTTCTCTCCGTCGTCTTCCGGCAGCTCACTTCTGCCGACCATGTAGTGCCTGAGTCCATATGAAGTTGAACTGGAGGATGTCGGTGTAGTGTTAGCTTCGGCTAACACGAGAAACCCACTACAGCCCGAAAGATCGCAGAGGAGAGGAGAATTGAGTTCGGTAGCTTTACGGTTCGTTTGCTTTACTCATAGAAATAGGTACACAGACCCCTCGCTTTTTTCATCTTTGGTCCCCGGTAGCTCACTTCTGTTGTGGCTTCTTTTTTTTGCATCCTTTGAACGTGGCAGTTTTGGCCACCATACAAAATAATTCCATAAACAGGTGTGTAAGACTGAGGCTGAGCTCTGTCTCTAAAATCACCTCTTATGTCCAACCCTCTCATTGACTCTGCTGCACTGTGCTGTAGTTCCAACAGGTGGCCACAGGGTGTCACTGTTGTATCGCTTTATGAATGCAGCACAGCAGCTCTGTTAAAAAAAAGAATAACAAAATAAAATTCAAATAAAGGCTTTAAAAACAGAAGACAACAGACAAACTGTGAACAACAGTGCTCTCTACATTTTTACATTCAGTTGTTTGTTTGTTTGTCTACAGATTATTCATACAGACGTGTCCTCGATTCTTCTTCACCCTTCAGACACTCAAAGTACCAAAGTTATTATGGTTCAGTCTAATATTATAAAGGTCCATTAAAACCATCTGAAGGATTCAGCTCAGACTAAATGTACGTAATTCAGCTTATTGTTGATTTTTATCTGCAGATATGTTCTACATTTATCCTCGCCACAGACAGATCTCCTTCCTTTTCTTCTTTAAAGTTCTCACAGCCAGCTGTGGAAAAACTTTATACTTCAAAGTAAAACTTCAGTGACTGTAATGTAGTGATAAAATACTGCAGTACAAGTGACATGTACTGCAGTTTTAGAGATAAAGTACCATGGTCTTAGTGATGTGTTTAGAAAAAAAAGTCTGTTAATGTAATAATTCAGAGCTATAAAGAGAAAATGAACAGAAACAGTGAAAATAAACTGCAGATGTGTTCAAAATACTGCAGTATAAGTTATCAAGATATGCAAAAATATTAATGGAGAAATGAGGAAATGATGATCAAGTGTTACAGCAGTAATAATATGCTGCAGTACTAGTTAGAAAGTACTTGATGGAGTATTAATATTGTTTAAAAGGGTAACAGTATATGTGATAAAGCACTGCAGTATTAACAGTATATGTGATAAAGTACTGCAGTATTAAGAGTATATGTGATAAAGTACTGCAGTATTAACAGTATATGTGATAAAGTACTGCAGTATTAAGAGTATATGTGATAAAGTACTGCAGTATTAACAGTATATGTGATAAAGTACTGCAGTATTAAGAGTATATGTGATAAAGTACTGCAGTATTAAGAGTATATGTGATAAAGTACTGCAGTATTAACAGTATATGTGATAAAGTACTGCAGTATTAAGAGTATATGTGATAAAGTACTGCAGTATTAAGAGTATATGTGATAAAGTACTGCAGTATTAAGAGTATATGTGATAAAGTACTGCAGTATTAACAGTATATGTGATAAAGTACTGCAGTATTAAGAGTATATGTGATAAAGTACTGCAGTATTAAGAGTATATGTGATAAAGTACTGCAGTATTAAGAGTATATGTGATAAAGTACTGCAGTATTAACAGTATATGTGATAAAGTACTGCAGTATTAAGAGTATATGTGATAAAGTACTGCAGTATTAAGAGTATATGTGATAAAGTACTGCAGTATTAAGAGTATATGTGATAAAGTACTGCAGTATTAAGAGTATATGTGATAAAGTACTGCAGTATTAACAGTATATGTGATAAAGTACTGCAGTATTAAGAGTATATGTGATAAAGTACTGCAGTATTAAGAGTATATGTGATAAAGTACTGCAGTATTAAGAGTATATGTGATAAAGTACTGCAGTATTAAGAGTATATGTGATAAAGTACTGCAGTATTAAGAGTATATGTGATAAAGTACTGCAGTATTAGTATGTGCTGTTAGTGGAGCTCAGGTGTGATCAGGTGTGATGGAGTGATTTTTGGATGGAGGAGCAGCTGGTGTCTCCTCTCTCCTCCTCCATCAGCGTCTCCTTTCATCTCCTCCTCATGTTAGAGGGGGTTTTATCGTAGCGAGGGCTTCATCACAACTGTAAAAATAAAGATAACAAATATATTTACACACAAAACAAGATCACAGCCAATAAAATATTCAGACGAAACTGACGGAGTGAAAAAATCTGCAAAGAGAAAAACAGACAAAGATTTTATATTTCAGGTTTTAAACTATTTAAAATCAGTTAAAGAAATTAAAAAACAACATGAGTATAAAGAAGTTTAAAGTTTCATTTTTTTAATTTTTCATATTTTAGTTTTTACTGTTTTTGTTTTACTTCAAAATCTCAGAGTCTAAAATCCATAAAAACTTCAGAGAGGTTCAGCTAAAGGGTAACGACAGATTTACACACAGCTTAATGCAGCTGTGTGTGTGTGTGTGTGTGTGTGTGTGTGTGTGTGTGTGTGTGTGTGTGTGTGTGTGTGTGTGTGTGAAGACGCTGAGTGTCCTCTCCTCTCTCCTTTCATCTTCAGCTCCTTCACGCTCTCTCCGTCCTCCTCACGCTCAGCCCCACCTGCTCTCCTCCTCCTCACCTTTCATCCCTTCCCTCCTCCCTCCTCCCTCCTCCCTCCTCCCTCCCCCCTTGTCCTGCTCGTCTCCTCCTCCCTGACTCCTGACATTAAACTCAGCCTTCTGGTGGATTACTTTAAACTGTTGGAGCTAAATTTATAAATCATATATAACCTTCTAATTCTAGTTTTAACTCATACGTATATAAAACAAGCTGAATAGAAAATAAACATGTCAGCGCTGTTTAAAATCAGTGAAGCTCCTCCCCCTTAAACTCAAATAAAAGCTCTTAAAGCACAGACATGATACTGACACTCAAACTGAATCATCACAGACATAATTTTACTGACGCATTCATGTGTTTGAGGCGAAGTAAAGCATTTAACTGTGTGTTTTCACTCCTATTTCACTCTTATTTCACTCCGTTAATACGGATTTTTAACTTTAATTAAAAGTTATTTTAATTCAGTGTCTCTTTACAGTTTCAAATATCAAATTAGATAAAATATAAGAATAATTTAAGGTTATGAAAAAGCTGACTTGTGGTTTTATTCTGAAGGAGAAAGTGACCGATGTGTTACTGTGTTGACACAACACAGGTACAGGTGAGCGTCCAGGTGTGTGCGACACTCTCAGGTTACTCCTGTGTGTGTGTGTGTGTGTGTGTGTGTGTGTGTGTGTGTGTGTGTGTGTGTGTGTGTGTGTGTGTTTGGATCAAACACTCTCTGCTTGTTGTGTGTTTTCACCGACTCATTAACTCTGACGACACGAAGGACAGTCTGTCCCTTCACAGAGACATGTTCATCGCCATGGTAACATGCGGCGGTGGAGTTGGTGGTTTGATTCCCGCTCCCTCGGTCACATGAAGCGTGGTTCAGTGTGACGAGAATCAACCCGTCTGTGGTCACATGATGGTCGTTATGAAAGCCTAAAGATGGAGGCTGCTGAAGGAATCATTGGCCGGTTAACGATGTCCATCAAGTTTAGAGGCCACTTTATTAGGGACACGCTCTGCAGGAGACAAACAGTGTGTCACTATTACTGAACATATTTGATTAACTGTCAGTTTCTTAGTCATTTGTTTTGAAGTTTTATCTTCTTCTTCTGTGGTTTTTAAAAGGTTTCTGTCGCCCCCATGTTGCCGTCTCGCCCCCATCAGTCGCCATGTTGTTTACTAACAGTCAGCTGATGGCTCCTGTGATTAAAACTTCAAACCAGCCGAGTTTTTTTTAAACAGACTTTATTCGAAGTTTGAGAACGGACACAAAAGTCAAACTGAAGACAGCAGAGCGAGAAAACACCGAACATGATCACATCACCACGATTCTGGCGTCCCTCCGTTGGCTTCCCGTTCATTTTAAAATCCTTTTTTAAATGTTATTGTTTGTTTTTTAATCTTTAAACGGATCGGCTCCACAGAACATCTCTGACCTCTTAAATGTTTTTCCTTGAGGTCAGCTGATCAGCTTTAACTCGTCGTCCCTAAAACCCGAGCTTTCTCGGCTGTGGCGCCCAAACTGTGGAACAAGATTGAAACCTCCCCCACTCTTCCTGCTTTTAAATCACGTCTTAAAACTCATTTTTATTCCTTAGCTTTTAGCTCAACATGAGAGTTGTGTGATCTCTGTCCTTTTTTGTGTTTTTCTTTATTTTATTTTATTTCATTTTAAACCTTTTTTTACCTGCATTTTTCCTGGTGATGTTTTCTGTCGTGTTTGTTTCTTTTAAATTTTATTGTGCGACACTTTGACAAACTTAAATGTTTTTTAAAATACATAAATAAAGTGGATTAAAAGGGTTAACGCTGCTGCAGCGACTTTATTTAATACAGTTATATAAAATTTAATAAAAGAATCTCTTTAAAAAATAATGAAACAGTTTCTGCAACTTTAGATGTCACAC